TTTTGTTTTTAATAAAGATGCTTCTTCAGCATTACTTAGCTTTTGAATGTCTACCAGTGTCTATACACGGCAGGAGGCAGGGCTGAGAAATGGAGGAAGAATAGAAACGAAACCCTGCAGTGGACTATCATTTTTAGATATTAATTGTGTTCCCCTTGGCAGAAGCAGAGACAGAAAGCCATCAAAGATCTGATCTTTATCCAAGAAAGGATCCTCTGACTACTGCTAGATAACCGCCACAGCCTAAGATATTCTGATGCACTTCACAAAGCCCAGTCTCCCCCTAGACAAAGGTTCATAAGCAACCCAGATAATGTCTGAAATAACAGAGACCAAACACTGCTCCCTAAAATTCAAAGTTAGGGACAACTGCCAGGTAACTTTAGCAAAGCTTCATTGTTGAAAAAAAAAAATACAATAATGAAATAATGATTTTTAAAATTACCTAGAAAGGGGACCAGCAGTTGGCATAATGGCTATGTCATTGGACTCCCATGTAGTCGACTGCGGTTCCAGTTCCAGATTTGGTGGCTTAAACTCACGCCGGGCACATGTGCATGTGTGCCCAAGATCCCAAGAGGAGAATGGAGGAAAAGGGATTGTGGAGTGGCCATCCCCCTTGGGGGGTGATTTCTTGCTTTCTGTCTCTCTCTCTCTCTGGTGAGCACATGCTCCCTATAGCAAACCCCCCACCCCCGGGGGAAAAAAAATACCTACAGAAAATGGAAAATCCAAGCCCTAAACTTGACTTAAACAGGACATGTAGCTCAAAATTACCCAGGGGTTCTCCTTTATATTCATAATCCCCTCAAAAAATGTAGCAAAGAGAAGGAAAAATGACAAGAGTTAGAAAAAAATGTAAAGAAGAAGAAAAAAAAAAAAAAAAAAACCATTTTTGTCTTTCGGGTTCTGTACCAAACCATGTTAGATATTAAACAATGTTATAGGGACCAGTTAGTGTAATGGCTATGTCGCTGGACTCCCACATAGTCGACCGCAGTTCAAGTTCTGGACCCCGTGGCTTAAACTCACGCTGGGCACGTGTGTGTGCGTGCCCAAGATCCCAAGAGGAGATTGGAGGAGAAGGGATTGCGGCGGGCTCTCTCTGTTTGTCTGGGGGGGGCAGGCGCCCTATAGCAAAAACCTCTAAAAAAAAAAAATGTTATAGGGTGACTACAGTTATCTCTCCTTTTTTGCTATAGGGCACATGCATTCACCAGGGAGACAGAGACAAAAGTGAGAAATACCAGGGGGGATGCCCATACTGCAATCCCTTCTCCATTTTCCTCTCAGGATTCTGGGCATGCACACACTCCTACCAGTGAATTTCAAGCCTCCAGGTCCAGGACTTGAACTGCATTTGACCACGTGGGAGTCCAGCGCCTTAACCACTATGGCATCTGCTGACTCCAGTTATCTCCATTTTTTAAATGAGAAAAATAAAACTCAGAGAGGTTAAGGATCATCACGTACAGGGGCAGAGAAGGAACAAGTACAGATTACACCCATACACGGCTGCCTTCCATTCTGTCTGAGTTTCTTGTTGGTACGGCCTCCCTCAGTTCACATCATCCAGTTCCAACTATGCGCTCTATCCATTTCCATCCCACTCAGAGAAGCTGGCCAATCAAGTGACCAGTGAGATCTGGGTTCAAATTCCATAGGGACTTTTCTTACATGTTTGTCTGTTGCTTGGCAGCTTTTGTGACACCAGGCAAAGTACTTAATTTCCCTGAAGCTCAATAATATTACAGCAAAATAAGATTTACCTCCCCAAGAAATTGGGAGACTTAGTGTGCTTCTGTAAGAGAAAAGATAGACAATAAGTACTCAAAATATATTTCAACACTTCCAAAACACACACACACACACACACACACACACACACACTCATCACCCCTACCAGGACAGGATGTGTTTGGGTCTGCACTCAAACTTAGTGTGTACAAGAGAGTAACTGCCTCCCTACCACTTTGTGTTTGCCTATAGGAGCAGAGGAGAATGTGCTCACCTGACATCCAGCACAATCTGGCAGCAAATCAGCCAAGGAGAAAGTTTTTGTCACTTTCCTTTCAACTTTCTTCCCCTACCCCTCCATCAGTCCCCCCAGGGGACCATCTAGGGTCTCATTTACCAAGGACTTTATTCTCAACAAAGTGCCATAATCCCAGATAATTTGTTAGCTCAGCGGCACTCAAACAGTATCACCTCAGCCTGCAGCAATGCAGGAAGGCCCTTGTCTTCTAAAGGAAACTTAGATTACACTGGATAGGGCAGGAAAACAGCAGTCTTTTGGCTGAGTTTGGATCAAAGCCACTATATATGTGGCTCTAGAGTCACATAGCTTCAGAGGCTGTCAACTGAAAACTGGCAAAAGATATTTGTATATTACCGGGTGGCACCAGGAAATATTTAAGACCCAAAGGGAACTCACCCTAAGGGGACTTTCAGTGGGCTGGGGTTTTCCCTAGAGCCTCTCAACTCACACCAGTTTGCTCGGCTCATTCATAAGGCCCGCCCTGGCTGACTCTGAAAACCAAGACATGCGGGGAAGCATCCAAGAGTTCTCTGAAATCCTTAGCTGGACAGTTCGCAGCAGAATGAGGGCCAAAGAGTTCCTCCCATCCATCCTGCAGCCTGGGACCCATCCAAAACTTCTCCAGGAATTCTGATGGGTTCCAAGGAACCCTGCCCAGGGAATTACTCAGAGGCCTCACTGGTGTGTCCTTTCAAAGGGACCCACAGGAGGTCAGGGCTGCAGTGGAGGTCCAGGTCTATCCTGAATCAGGATTCCACAGACAAAAGGAGGTGATGCCCAGGGATTATTGAGAGAAAGTAAGAAAAAAAAATCTTCTACATCATGGATAAACTTTAAAATTAATTTGCCACATGAAAGGGCCTATCACAAAGGACCCCAGGTTGTATTCTTTCATTCATACCAAATGTTCTGAATAGGCATATCTATAGAGACAGGTTGGTGGGTTAGGGAGAAATGGGAAGTTACTGCAAATAGGTACGGAATTTAGGGGGGTTGCTAAAAATGTCCTAAAACTGTGGCGATTTTGTACAATTCTGTGAATATAGTAAGAATGATTTTCTTTTTCTTTTTTTTTTTCTTTTTTCCTTTTGTCAGAAGGCCCATGCGCTGGTCAAAGAGAGAGACAGAGAATCAGGGAGAGCATACTCCCCAGTGGGGCGTGGTCATATCGCAATCCCTTTCTCTCTATTTGTCCATCCTTCCACTATTTGGGGTGCGTACACATGCCCTGTGGCCAGGACTCCATCTGAGCAGTTGACCAGGTGCCATCAGACCACCTTAACCAGCAGCCCACAGCACTGCCCGAACTGGACACTTTAAGTGGGTGAATTCTGAAGTCTGTCTTATAATAGCCAACCCATCTGGTTCAGGTTCAGATGAAACTGGTAACTCTTTTGGACAACTGGAAATCCAAATGCTATTCATTCATTCGTTTTTCATTCACTCACTTCACATTTACCGGTGAGCTCTCCATGTGCAGAACTGGACCACCTAGTCAAAAAACACACCATTTCTCATCCCACCAGCTTCAGCCTGCTTGCTGGGTTTGAATGGGGCCTCTTCATCACACACTCCTGTAAGAAGCTCCCTGGCCCCCTGTAGATGGGGGCCCAGGGCCTTTATCAGGGGAATGGCAGGAAAACTTGATTTTTTTTTCCTGCTCTCCACACAGCCACCAAAGTCTTACATTCCTGTTTTTCTTGTCCCCCCACCCCCACCCCCTTGAGTGGCTGTCAGCTGCGGACTCTCCAAAACTTCCAAAAGGGAATTTAAAAGATGTAGAAAGAAGAAGCTCTCAGCAGCTCCGGGAGCGACTTCCAGGAGAGCAATGCTACCCACAAGCAACTTTCCCTAAGGGCAGGTCCAGCGCCCACCGGGACCTAAGCAGAGCAGCCCTGAGCTGGGGACTCACAGCGTGTTCTTCCCACAAAGGACCCAAGAACCAAGCCCCAAGAGCCTGGTGTCCATAGTCCCAATTGCAGGTGGCCTTCAGGTTCTGGTTGGGGACTGAGGCCGTTCCGATGGCCCCACACCTCTCCTCTCGGCCGGGGTCTAGCCTTGCCCCGCCTGTGCACACTGAGCGCCAAAGCCCAGCTCCCCGGATGCCTCTCCGCCCTGGCGCTGCGTACTAGGAGGCTTGAAGCTGGGAGGGGTCCAGAGAAATAAAAGGGGAAACTGGGCGGTGGGAAAGCTACGGCGAAGAAGAACCTCCAACTAGATAGTCTGGTGGTGCATCTCAAAGTCGCAGCCTTCCGGCCTCAGACACCAAAGCTAAACGCACGACGCGTCCCTGTCTCCCGGCGCAGATGTGGAGGAGCGCTTACTGCCGCCATCCTCCAGCAATGCCCTCTGCCTCATCGCTCCCTTTGCGTCTGGAGCCGGTCCTCAGCTACCCAAATTGTGACCGCACCAACGGTTGGTCCGGGTGAGTTTTATCCCCCATCATATTCATCGGTTTTTCTTCCAAGCTATCCCAAATGCAACAGAAATAAAACCGGCGTGCGCCCTCATACACACACCTTCAAGACAGATTGCTAACTTTTCCCACCAGATTGTCGCCAATACTGAGGCTCTTGTAAATGGACATGCTGGAGACTCCAGGATCTCGCAGCCAAACCCAGCTTCTTCCTGCT